CGAACGCATGACTACAGGGTGATCATCGCAAACAGGGATTTATCGGATCTGAGGATCTAGGGGGTGAGCACGAAAGATGCCACCGGGTGATGTGGATGTGCGGCATTATTACAAATTACATGGAGATATGCGACGATACGATTTTTATCAGCGAATTATTTATCCGAAGGGAAAGCCGAATAAATTATTCACCGTCGTAAATGATTCGGTGATATAAGGTATTGAACCTGTTACATGACAGCTTCCAGATTAACACTAAAATATTTTTAATATATAATGATCTTATGCTTTTTATTCTAATACTACAATTGAAAAAAAGAGGTAGTGATTGTGACAGTTAAATCTATACCTGAAATAGAAACATCATGGACGAGGCGTAGATAAGTATAATTGGTTCCGGGCAGCTTATAATAACACGGTGGTCTGTTTTTGTATCGGATAAATAATTTGATGAAGCGATAGCGTACGTCTCTCACCAAGTACTTATATTCCCAAAGAGAAACAATAGCCGGAAATTGTTTCACGTACGCCGTTACTCACCGTAATTGTCAGCACCGTGATCGATCGTATCCATTCATTATGTATTTCATGTGCTCCCATACATAATGAATGGGTCACTCGATCACGATGGTCCGACAATTTCATGTGCTCCGAGCCTAAAAGAATCTTATGTAAATCAGTATGGCAACTTTATGGTGGATATTCGTTAGTCCAGCGGTCTTATGTTATGCTTTTGCATTTCATGTGCTATCGGCCAAAATTTCTGATATCAGAAAGGCAACAGATTTCACACAGTCTCTGTAAATCTAACGATGTCGGCAAACTGCTGCTAGAAATCTGACGAATCTGTTGACATTCTATGCCAGCAAATTGGCAACAGAAATCGGGCAGACTCTGTTGACTACGGACTTAATTGACCCTAATTGCACATTGGCAAATTGCAGACACAGAGCAGGATCTGTGCAACACAGTCTGACAGCAGATTGACAACAAAAATTGAGCAGATTTTTTAAACGCAGTATTATTATCGGCAGAAATCAAACAGAAGTTGCGCCGTCACTGAATATCTGCAAGACTGCCACAGATATAGTGTTCATTGGTAACCATTTCCCGCATTTATAAAATTTGTTGAGCTCTCTATATAATCAATATTGAAACTCGGATATGTCACAATTATTTGTGTATTATTCATGTATTGTCGTACTTATTGTTAGTACGAGATATGAATAATATTTTTGCACCAAAGAAGCTAATTGAGCATAGTATTATTACTATTATTAAAAAATAATTGCTAATATATAGAGAAAAAGAGCGAAGATATTTTCTTTAGATTAAAATATTCTCGGAGAGAGAGAGATAGAAAGGAATCAAATACTTTAATGTAAAATACAATTTTTATTAATATTGTAAAACAGTTTAAAATTACTCAACAGCAAAATTAAAGCATCACCTATTCTGATCCCTAAAAATAGACAAAGTTCAAGAGAGCATAACTTGTAAAAAATAATTATAATAAAATGTTTTAAAAAGCATTTTACAGTTTGGAGTCTCTACTTTTGAAATTCATGATTCATTAAATAACTTACTGATTCTTTACGGAGCTACACGGATGCAAGTGAAGATGCATCAAATTTAAAAATTTTTTATTTACTTTAAGAAGTTCCATGGCGTGAATTAAAAATTGCATACAAATACGACTTACAGCGTTTAAAAGCGTGAATCTTTTTTTTGTAATTTGCGCATTCGATAAGCGTTATGCAGTTTTTTACCGAATTATTCAATACTAAAGCAAAATTGGTCTTTTTTATTTCAATGATGAGTAACTCGATAAAAAAAAATCGCATAATGCTCAACGACTATTTAAGTCGCAAATTAAAAGTAAAGACTGATTTTTTCGAACACTGGTAAACAGTATTTCTATGCAATTTTTGATTCACGCCATGAAAACTTGCAAGTTCCATAATCCGAAATAAAAATCGCACATAAATGCAGTTTAGAGTTTTCGAAAGTGAATTTTTAACTTTAATTTGCGCATTCGGAGAGCGTTGTGCGATTTTTTTCACCGAGTTATTTAACATTGAAACAAAAATGGTCCTTATGCTTCAACATTGAATAATTCGGTGACAAAAAATTGCAAAAAATGCAAATTAAAGATAAAGATATACCCTTTCAAATGCTATAAACTGCATTTATGTGCAATTTTTAATTAGTATCAAGAAGCCTTGCAAAATTCGTAACAAAGTTTATCACATTTTTATTTACGTATAGCTCCGTAAAAAGTCAGTAAAACGTTGTTTACTGTCGATATAAAAATAAAGACTAAATTGTAAAATGCTTTTGAAAAATTTTATTGTAATTTATCTTTTTTTTGTGTGATATTACACTCTCCTTTTAGCAATTTCTTCGAAAATCATTTTCAAGTCTGAATGTTCTTGAATTTCGCAAAAACTCGGATATTTAATGACGTCTCTGAAAATTATAACGATTGTTAACCCTGCGTGCGCTATGATGGGAAATATTAATATAGCAAATCATGTGGGATATCTCATCCTATGTTGCAGTTCACTTTAAGAGGGTATTCTAGTCTAGCGGATCGGAAAAATTGATTTTTTTACATATTTTGCAAATATTTGATATGGAAAATATGTCTGCAAAAGGATTTAGCCTGATTCGCAAAATTAACAAAGTTATAGGCCGGTACTTGTAATCGATTCTTATATTTAAGATCGTCTTAAGTATAGGATCGTCTTAAGATTTTACAATTAAGCCAATTAGCATCCGCCATATTAGCATCTTAAGACGTTACTTAAGACGGCTTCGAAATAAAAACCGACTTATGAATACCGGCCATAGCACTTGATAGAGAGTAGTCTCAATCTATGTAATCAGTACAAAATGCTTTAAACGCGTTTTTCTCGAAACCACGTTTTTCAAATTGGTACCCATAATATCTCGAAAACCAATTGACTAATCAATTCGGGCTTGTGCATGCATCTTCAACATATGCGTGGCTATAGCCCCTACCTCGATCAAGTCAAATTATGTTTTTGTTAAATTTTTACAACTCTTTAAAGTTGGAAAAAATGATAAAAATCGAAAATTAATTTTCAAAGTAATGTCAATTTTTAAATTTTTAATATTTTATTTATGTTCTGGTACCAGGTATAGTCAAACTTTATACTAATTGAAAATTTCTTTGATTTTTTTGTATTAAATGAGTAGAACAGCCGGAATTATGGGTACCGGACCAATCTTTTTTCTTCATGACCTCAGTATATATATTGTATATAGCGCTTATTTATAGTTATATTTAAATACAAATATTTTGAAACATGCTTGAAATATGTACAAATATGTAGGACAAACTTTGTCCCAAAAAACTTTATACTTTCTTTTAAAAAAATTCGTAAAAATAGCATAAAAATTTGTCCTCTAGACTAGAATACCCCCTTAAATATATTAATTTAAAGTACGATAATAATTTCAATCGTCACAGCATTGGTTTAAAACTTGCGCGCAACATTTTTTTAAAAGTCATACAAGTTTAAATTTTGCTGGAGTATGTCACATCTAGTACGAAAAGTTAAAAAATATTAAAATTTATTTTAAAAACATTTTTCAATTTTTTAAATAACTTTATTGATCTGATTACAAATATGGATCTATTAACATTGAATAGTCATGAATCATCACAAAGTGTCATTTTATGAAAATCTTTAGAAATCACTAAAATATTTTGATAAGTCTCCGAAATTATACTAAAAAATTTTCTGAAAATTCTGCAACGTGAAGAACATTTTCAGGAAAATTAATTTTTAGTCTTTCAGAGAAATTCAGAGAAACTTTTTCACCGGGGTTTCCTGTGTGAAAATTTATATACAATTATTTCATTGTATATTTCGTTCCATTGGTCCACCAAGTTTTGACTAATATTTTTACAAAAGGTAAGATCGATTTCGTTCAATTTAGTACATTTTGTAAAAAGTTGAAAACATATAGCAGGTGTCACGGAATCCAAGCTCATCAAGTTTAAGGATTTTAAATTTTTACACAACGCTAGTGTTTCCAAATCACGCTTATTGAGAGTTTCATACTGATCAGAATAGCTCAAGTCGACTTTTTCCAGGCGTTGACAGGAGGAAAACAATCTACTGAAGGCACTACTCCTGTCACAATTATAATCCTTTATCCAGCATCTGTAAACAAAAACCAATACGATTATAGCAATTGCATGCAAAAAAAGATAAGCATATAAATTTCAAAAAAGAATACGATATGTTTTAAAAGAAACACTTTCACATACGTACCCAGAAAAATTTATTTCTATCAAATTCTTACAATCGGCAAGAGCATAAATCTCTTGCGATGTAATAGAGCATTGCATTAAATTTAATCTTTCCAAATTGAGGCAATTTTTTAATTCTATAACGACTGCAGTATCTATGTTTAAATCCGTATTTGCTAAATTTAAGTCACGCATCTGTCGATTTTTCTGTAGTATTTCACATAAAGTATTAGATTTTAATGATGTAATATTTTCAAGATGTAAACGTTCCAAAAACTGTAAATTTTTTAGGTATGAAATACCTTCGAAATATAGGCAATTACAACCATTTAGATCCAATTCTAAAAAATATATGTATAATATTATAATTATGTTTAATTTACCAGTAATCATAACAATCACAGAGTTATATATGTACGTACCTTTCAAATTTTTGCATATTTCTGAAATATCACCCAGAAGTCCAGAATAAAAGACATATCTGCAGCGACTTAATCGTAAGTATGTTAAATGTCTGCAGCAAGTTTTTATAAATTCACTAAAATTCGGAGCATAAAATTGGCAATACGCCAGATCCAACTGTAGTAAATGTTTACATCTAGGTGCAAAGTAATCAAATAACTGACGGATATTTATATGCATATATGTTAGGTGTATATTCCGTAAGTTCAAACATTTGTACAGCAGAGGATCACGTGATAAATAATTGAAGCGCTTATTGACTCTGCTCATGCGACTTAATGACGTCA